ATTGTCTACTCTTCTTTTCTTATTCATTTTTCTTTTTTGTCTTTCTTCATAGAATTTATTCATCTCCCTATGGCTTTAAATGCCACCTCTATGAATGACACCACATTTATATCTCTAACTAGGTAGTTCAAATATCTTGATTTCCACCCCCTAACCCTGTTTAACCTTCTTAGCAAATGGTTTCACTTTTTACCTACATGGCTGATCAAGTCAGAATCTAAAATTCATAATTGATTCCTCTTTCTCCCTTACTCTCTACGTTCATTTTGTTATCAAGTGTTGTCAGTCTTATCTCTAAAATGCATCTTGAATCTATCCATTAACTTTTATCTCCAGGACTGCTGCAGTGATGCATGCCTCTCTCATCCCTTGGCCTCACAGCTTCCAGTCGGCCTGCTTTCAGTAGTCATCCCAGCCAGTCTTCTTGAAAGAAAAAGGGGTCTTGTTAATTACCATTTGAAACATTGAAATGGTTTATCATTACAATAGCCATCAGGCTCTGCAAACACATTTCCTGGAGTCAAATCCCGGTTTCACCACTTACTAGCTGTGGAACCTTAGGCAACTTGCGTGATCTCTCTGTGGCATAGTATGTGGGAGGTAAAGTTAAAGAAGACAGTTCATGTAAGGCACTCACAACAATGCCTGGCACTCAGTAAATGTTCCCTATTATTAATGTTGTATGGCCTGCAAAGCACTGTGTGGTCAGACTTCTGTGTATTCAAGGTCCCAGGCTAAACACTTGACAATGCCTTTCTCAATGACTGTTTTCACAGCTGGGGTCTCCTTCAATTTTTTCCTATCTCAAAAACCTATTTACTTTATACTACTTATTATCTCTAATTATCTTTTTCTTTTGTTTGTTACCTTACTTCTTCCTTAGACTGTAAGCTGCATAGAGAGGGACTATGTTTAAGCTTGTTCACCATTTTAACTCCAGTACTTTGAACAGTTCTTGCCACATAGCAGGAATTTATAAATATGTATTTGTTGATAAAATAAATAGTGAATCTCACATTTTTAGCGAGACCTTTGGATATTTACATTTTGGTCATTTTTTTCATTCTGATTCAATTGGACTCTGAATAGAATAAAACATTTATTTATAATGCTATAATTTGTTTTGCATGTCACTATGGAAGTCTATTTCCTTTCTTAAAGTTTCTTATATAAAGACTAAATTGGGGAATAGAACAAGAATGTTGATAATGAAATTTCCTGTAAGATAATCTTTCTCATATTTCAATATTATACTTCTAATGTGTAGAATACTTCTGACTCTCTAAAAAGAAAATTTTGAAAACATAATATTGTATAATATCAACATAGTTTATACTGGTTGTTCACTTTGGGTCCCACCCAAAGGATATTTGTTACTGAAATACCTCAAAGGTCTTAAAATAGTGTTTTGGAATGAACACCAAGGATAGCATTACAGAGACATATTTTAACTAAATTATAAATAACAAGACAAAGTATTATTTTTATTGGGGTATTATTTAACTATTTTTTATTTATAATATTTTTTTAGTTAACATACATGCAATTGGAAAAAGTATACCTAATTAAAAATAGAGGCTTTTTTTCCACCTCACAGTCATATTAAATAGTTCCTTACGATTTTCATTTACTTCTAAAATACAAAACTTCCTTAAAGCTATAGTCTAGTATGTAAAACTTTTAGTGGAAGTCATATATATCTTTCACCTTGGTACTTTCAATATTTATAATTTGTTTTTGCAACCCAGTACACTGTTTTGGGTAGATCCTTCATATAAAAATATTTTCTTTAGAACAAAAAATATTTCCAACAAAAGAAAGGGAATTTTTTCAGTGTATACCTTACAATTTTGGATTAGTCATCTTAGACTTTATTTTGATTCTCTTGTTACATAGTCTTCGTTATATAAGCAAAAACTTGATTAATGCTCCAAGTTTTCTATGAGATAAAATGAAGAGGTTGAAAATATACAACCTTTTGAAACCTTTGATATTATTGATAATAGGATCATATTTTCAAAATTATTGACGTGTTGGTTTAAGGGAATAAAAACTTAATTTTTCCTATAAGCTCCTGCCTCCTTAATACACATGAATAACTTGTCTTTGACTAAATGATAAAAATATGTTTTTCAGGTCACTTCAATACTCTTTTAAATACTGAATTAAGCTATTTATAACATGTTATCTCAGAAGTGTATTTTCTGGACAAGTTTTTTCTTAACCAGAGCTAATACTGAAAAAGTTCAGCATACAATGGGCAGTTCTCTCAACTAGGCTTTCCTCTTCCATTTCTCCTCCCCTCCCTTCTGTTGTGGTAATAACTATTATATTAAATCAAGTTTGCACAGTATTATGCTCATATATGGTTTTATTTGAGGGGAATTATGATTTCACATATAGCAAGCATTTCACTAATGTTGGTTAGCTTAAAAAATAGTTCATAAAATTAAGCCAAAAAACTCATTAAAACAATATAATATATCCATATAAAAAAGACAAGACTTTTTTAAAAAAGCTCTAAAGCCAGTTAGTTTGTGATTGTTTTTGGTATTCTTCAACAGTTCCTAATACAATGTTGAATTAGGAGTCAAGCAAGAATAGTTCTGATCTGATTCTCAGAGTGTACTTTTAAACATGGTGGCTCAAGCTAGGGAAATAGCAGACTTTTCCTTTTAGAGGGAAATACTAGGAATAACTCGTGATTCCCAGTATGAAAAGCAAAATCTTTTTCTAAAGCACATGTCCTATAGAATTTGGTGATCTAAAACTATTGGAATCAGTTTTTCCAGGAATCAATAAAATATTCTGTCAACAGTGAATTCAGTGATTGGGGTGATATAAAGTCTCACATATATAGATGTATCTAAATTTTTTTTTTTTTTTTTTGTGGAACACCTCAATTGAATATGTAGAAATTCCTTCAATTTACTTGACTAATCTTTGTTAGGTTGAAAGTTTTAGTTTTTCTTCTTTTACATAAATCAACAAAAATCAGTTCCTGTATTTCCAAGGAAACAGCAAACATCTATTCCAAGCTAGCCTGCCTACCATATTTGTTTGCAGCCTTATCTCTGTTAAAGGATAAATAGTTGTCGCTTATTTTCTTTTCTACTTTTTATTCATTTAAAATTCCTTATGAGACATATGAGAAGTTATATTCTCTTTAAAAATTTTATTTTACAAGAAATAGAATGGTTTAATAGAACTTAAAGTAAGAAGAATTGGGTTTTCTCCTTGAGCAGTTTATCAATGTGAGCTTGGGAAATCATTTTAACCTAACTTTTCTCCTGATGGTGAATTTCAAACTAATGAAAACTCCTTTTGCCTTTATTAAATGCATAGGGTTTTTTTGCAAGTATCAAATGATACGTTTCTAAAACTATTTGGTAAAACAAAAACTATTCAAAATTGGTAGTGAAATTATGAACATATTAAAATATTTTTCAGCTTTTAAAAACTCATAAATACAGAAAAAAGCAAAACAAATTTCATTTACTAAGTGGGTTATTAGTGAGGTGTTATAGCTTAGTGTCATTTTCGATAATATGTAATATAAATACAACAATTTAAGGATCCCTGATTATTGAACATAAACTATTTTTTGCATAGTATTTTTTTAAAGTAAATTTAATTACCTTACATTCTTTTGTGGAAAAATACTTAAGCCCCATATTATGATTTTTTCCTAAATGTTTATTTTAAATATTTTAAAATAAAAGTGTACTTTATTGTTTTTTAAATTTACTTATTTTATAAACCAATGTGCTACTCCTCTATTATACAGGATACTACTGGTAGCAGTGATGAAAAGTTGATAAAGCACTAATAGAAATTCTAAGGTTTTTTAAAAAATTTATTTATTTTTTACTGTTGTTCAGTTACAGTTGTCCCCATTTTAAAACTTACATTAGCCAGCCCTGGCCAGGTGGCTCAGTTGGTTTGAGCATTGTCTGTACAACAAAAGGTTACGAGTTCCATCTTCTGTCAGGGCACACACTTAGGTTGTGGTTTTGTTCCCCACTCGGGGGGTGAAAGGGAGGCAACTAGTCTTGATGTAACTCTCTGACATTATTGTTTTTCTCTCTCTCCCTCCCTCTCCTCTCTCTCTGCCTTCCTCTCTCTAAAATCAATAAACATATCTTCAGGTGAGAATTTAAAAAAATAAACTAACATTAGCCAAAACAGAGGCTTTATAAGAATTAGCAAAAATACTCATATTCACATTTTGTCAAAGAGATAACTTTGTTTTTCATATACAGCCACCTTGGTAGTTCATCTGACCTCTTAGTATAGCAGTGTTAAAGGTTAGCATAAATTACTAATAATCACACATTCCTATTAATTTTAGGTAATAATCTTTGGAATTACAGAAAAACAGAGTATCTTTGTTTGTTCGGTGTATAGAACAATAGTCTACATTGTTTTGAAAATAGACCAGTATAAATGATCACGAAATTTTCACCTTTCAGATTACATTTATATTGCTTCACTTTGAGAAAAATGCTAGGTAGTCTAGGCCCATTGAGTTTTGTTTTTTTTTTTTTGATTATATTTTATTGATTTGCTATTACAGTTGTCCCAACTCTCCCCCCTCCACCCAGCACCCCTCACTCCCTCAGGCCATCCTGACACCATCGTTCATGTCCATGGGGCATGCATCTGTTCTTTGACTACTCCATTTCCTATACTGTACTGTACATCTCCATGGCTATTCTATAACTACCTATTTGCACTTCTTTTTTTTTTTTTTAGGCCCATTGAGTTATGATTCTTTTAAGAGAAGTGGAACCACTTAGAATGATTTTTTTTTTGGTTATGCTGGTGTGGTTTTTTCTTCCTCTTAAATATTTTTAAGAGTTGGGTGACCAAGTATGTTTTTATTCTGACAAACTAAATACAATTTAGTTCCTCCTACTTTAGTTGGATCTCTAAGTGATTTCTCCAGATGAGACGTTTCTGTTTTTAATGTTTATATATTCACCCATTTCATTTTTTAGGCGATTTTACGAAGATGGAGCAATTGTCTTGGGTGAGGAAGCAAATATGCTTGCTGGCATGCTGCTTGGGCTCAATGCTATTGATTTCAGGTACTCAATTGTAACTAACTGTATTCAGTTTTTAAACTGTTCTACCTTATAATGGTTTCTACTTGTGATTATTTTCCCTCAATTTTCTGAGAAAAGCACACAGTTGGATGATGGTATTTGAATCACAGTGTTCCCTTTTAAATGATGTCAGTTTTCTAACTGATTTTGTTCTGAGAAGAGACTGTCTCAAGCTTAAAGAATTAACTTTCAGGCAAGTTGTCTGGTTTGGGTAAAAGGAAAGCTTAGAGTACATTCCCCCAAGCAGAAAAGTCATGCATTCTGGTAGCACTAAAGGAAGGTTTTGGATTTTTATCTCTGAGTATTTTTCTGCTGCTGCTTTAAAATGAAAAGATGTACACTAAAAGTAAATTCAAAGCCAGGAAGATTTTCATTATCTCATATGTTGAGTTAAAGAAGATCCTGAGAGAACATCTTGCGTGTCTTATGTTTCTTGTGTTATCTAGAATATAAAACATTGTTAATATTTGCTTTTATTATCAACAAGATGAATTGATTCCAGACTAAGATTACAAGTATTAAAAAGGGACATTATAATTTCTTTTGAGATTTATGAAAACATCTTTTGGCCTTTATTTAACTTATTCAAGATTTATACTGAAAGTAAAAGTTTTGTCTCTAATAACAACTCAAGCATAAGAAGGAAATATTGTATTTTTATTTAAATATATCACATAAAATCTAAGAATTTTATTAAAATAAGTATAAACTTAAATGAAAATCTACTTTTAGGTTTTGATTTAAAAAATAATGCTGCCCCTTTTCACTGAGGTTACCTTCTTCTAGTAAATCACTTCTTTTCAAAATATTTGTCATTTTATAATTTTCTTTAATATTTCCTAAAGTAGTATTAGGTTGATGAGCTTAATTGTTTAGGATGAACACGACAGATGCAATATGAAGGTTGTCTTTATGATCCCTCTAGGGGTGTTAACTTTGTACAGGGCATGCTGCTGGCTCTATCTAAATCCCTTATAATTTTATGTTTTGGTAAAAACAAAACAAAAACAAAAACCTGGGAGAAGAATGTGAACTGTTGATTTATTGTAACCTGTTGATACTATACAGTCAGCTGAAAACAACTGTTAAAGATACATTAAAAATACATTAGTAATGTTTCTGTAAAAAAGAAGAAAAGCCCATATAAAATGTTACAAAATTGATTGTTTATTCAAGCCTGGAAAAAAAATACATACCTTTGATATTAATATATTAGAACAAGTATTTCCCCAAGCAAATTTCCCAAAGAGACCAGAAGATAGGAGTTCATAGATGAATCACTTATTTCTTTTGAAAAATTAACATCATTTAAATATTCCTTTATCTTTCTAGAAGGTATACTTCTTCCTTTTAATTATAGTAATCTTTTTTGTTTTAAAAATTTTAATGCTTTATTTTTAAAAACAAATTAAATTGTATTCAATTACAGTTTACATTTCATATTATTTTGATTAGTTTTAAGCATACAGCAGAACGATTAGACAATCATATACTTTACAGAATGTTGCCCCTGACATTTCCAGTACCCATCTGGCACCCTATATCGTTATTTTAACATTGTTGACTCTATTTCCTATGCTGTACTTTATATCCCCACAACTGCTGTGTAACTATCAGTCTGTATACTTCTCAATCTAGCAATAGTAATCTTAAAACTAAACATTTTTTCTTTCTGGAAAAAAAAGGCTCTCTGGATATACCATTATACAAAACAAAGATTACTGGATTGGGGAACCAGAAGATCTAGAGCTTTTGACTGGCTTTATGAAACTCACAGTATGACCTTGGGCAAGTTCCTTAACCTTTTCCTTGTTGTCATACTACTTTATTTAAGGGACAGGGTGTTCCATTTTAATCCTTGATAGGTTTTATGTATTTCTCACATGCTTCTTCAACACATTAGTTTGTCTAATTCTGTAAGGTTACTCAGTGTCATCTTGATCAGCTAACCGTCTTCATAACAAGTTTTGTTGACAAGTTCTGAATTTTCTGCAAGAGCTTCATTAATTTCAGTTACTTGTTCTGATAGAGGAGATAGAGTTCACTAGAAGCTGTCACACTTTCCAAAGCACCAAACTCATCTTGTTTGTTAATTTTGTTCCAACTTCAGGCAGACAACAGTAAACAACATCTCCCAAGCTTCCATTGCAAAACTGCTGAGTCCCACTGTTCCAATATAATTTTCTGTTGTTATTTATCCGTTCGTGTTGCTCTGTGAAATCACACACAACGAGCAGGCTGGGGCCGGTGTGCAGCTGGACAGTGCTTGCCTCAGGCCCCAGAGCTGGGAGCCGTGGTGGTCGCGGAGGCAGTGAGCCGGCCCAGGCCCAGGCTGCTTGCTCTGCCTGCTGGGGCACCGTGTTTACAGGCAAAAACTCATTTTCTAATTATTTAGATCTTCGAGGGAGTACTCAGTGCCACCAGAGAATTTGTAAATGTGAACAAATCTTCAACTGAAAATTCTCTAGTGACATCATGAAGGTTCAATAAAGACCAAAACAGTATGAAATAATGTTTGAAAAGATTTCTCAGTAAATTTTACTTTTGCATGATATATTTATACAACAGTGTATTAATTTGTACAACTCTTTATCATTTACATTGAAGGTAAACGTCTTTATTGAGCTATTTATTTGTAACAAGTAATATTTAAATTACAAACAAAAAGATGTACCTACAATTTGATGAAAAATGTCTCTTTTTATAACACTTAACTTTGATTTAAAATTTTATATATTAATATGGAATATTTATTGTCCATTGTCTCAGCTTCTGCCTAAAGGGAGAGGGATTGGATGGCAACTTTCCTGCTGTAATAGACTATACACCATATTTGAAGTTTACCCAAAGGTATTTGACATACAGAAATATGTTATTGAAATCCTAATTTATTGTTGACTGTCTTGTACCATATACTCACTTGATTACAATTACTTTTTAGAAAACATTTATTTCATATAGGAATTCATCCATAAATATAAACTCCCTTTGCATTTTTGGTATTTATACAGTTTTTATATTGTTATCCCAGCATAAATACAGTTTAGCTTTTAAAAAATAGCATGTATTTCTATTTCTGTAGTCTATTGCTATATTATAATGATAAATATAATAGTTCCATTATAGTTCATTGAGATTTTAAAACTATAATTCATTATTATACTGGGTTCAATTTATCTCCATTATAAAGAAAAGAATAATGAACATTTTTGTTAAATCAGTTTTATTTCTATTTTGAATTTACAGAGTTATTCAGGTAATACAACAAAAAAATGTATGGCTTTTAAAGTCTATACTTATAAAAGAGTTTCACCAATTTATCCTACTACCAGGCTTGTGTGAGAGTTATGGATTACCTGCAATCTCACATCAAACGTTGAAAATTAATCAGATGAAATCCATAGACTTTCTGAAGGTCTGCCTTTACTTACTGATTTCTGAATAGAATGATGATCTTTTTGTACCTCTAAAATGTTATTATCGGGCCAGAGGCTGTACAGGAGAGAGAAAGAAAGTGAGAGTTATATATGTACCTGTGTTATATGTATACATACACACAATCAAGATGCATTTATGGAGTGCCTCATGTAGGAAGCAAACTGTCCTTGGTACCAGGGACACATAGACGTTTAGCATATAGAAACGTCATGAATTCCTGAAAAAGAATACATGTCCCCTCCCCAAGATAATCACTGTCTAGTGAGACAAGTTACTATTATTTCAGAGCTAGGAGTATGAATCTATTTTGGATGATGAGAAAGAAGGAAAAATAGGGTATTGTAGCACCAAGCTAACTTAAGTCGATTTCTTAAGAAAAGGGATAATTCTAGTACATTAGATCTAGAAAATAAATACAGCCAGAAGATGTTGTGAACAGACATAAGATTATACTGTTTTGGGATATGCTGGATTATAGGACATTTTATGAAGATAAATTCAAAATAATATTAGAAAAAATAATATTAATAGCATTTATTGAATATATATCAGGCATTGTTTTCAGTGCTTCATTTCTATTAATTCATTAATCCTCAAAAGCTAGTGTGGTAGGCACTGCTATTCCTTATTTTACAAGTGAGAAAACTGAAACAGAAAGATGTTAAGTAACATGTCCACAGTCACACAGTTTGTTTGTGCAAAGCGGGCCACAAGTCTGTAATTAAGGAGCAAGATTAATGGAAATTTCTATACAATTTCCTTTCTTTGATGCACAAACAAATCTAAAATGTATATATAGCCTTTATATACTAAAGGATTCCTACAAGTTGTTATATAACAGACACTAAAATGAGAAGGGAAATACCAGTTCAACCTAGTCATTAACAAGTTAGCATTTCTGACCATAAACTTTTTCTTTTTAGAAAGATATAAACTATCCTAATTGAGCCAGTATTTCAAAAATTGAACTGCTTCCACTCAAATATACCTGTATTAAATACATTTAAAAAAAAAACTCTATTAGTTTTCTAATGTTAAGAAACTGTCTGAGTCTGTCCTTCCCCCAATTGACTGCTTTTCATTTATTTTGGAAGTAATACATATTCATTATAGAAAAATTTAAAAATACAGAAAGGTATTTCAAGAAGTTAAAGCCTTTATAATATCATTCATTATAATGGTATACTTAATGCTCAATATTTTAGAGGTTGCTCACCAGTAACTTGAAAATACAGAATTATTTCTTGAAAGTCAAAATGGAACTTCTGTTAACTTTATCCTTTAAAAATGTTAACCTTCCCAGCTCCGACAGTATCAGCAGCGACGAGGAGGAGCTGCGGACGCTGGGCAGCAGCGGCAGTGAGAGCAGCTCGCCGGAGAGCGCGGGGCCGCCGTTCATCATGGACGAGAACGGCTGGTTCAACAAGTGCAAGAGAGTCCGGCAGAAGTACCAGCTGACCCTGGAGCAGAAGGTACGGATCGGTGTCAAAGTCATTGAGTTGATTTCCAGTTATTCCCTTGGGCTGTCACTGGGGAAAGATCTTTGAGCTAAATGAAAGAATTTGCCCCTTTCTACTTTCTTTCTGTTCTATTTTAGGAAGGGCTTTTGTCTGTTAAACTTCTTTTAAGTTTTACATTTTTATATAGGAATAAGCCACTTATTCTTCCGTATGCTGTTTCATTTATATGTTTGAGATTTTTGTTTCTGTGATCAATTTCATAAGATATTATTTGGTATATGAAAAAGCAATAATTGCCTAAGCAAATTCCATATATGCTTCATTTGTTCTGAATCATTATTTTAGCAGCTTTTGTATGTTAAACACTGCACTTGGCAAAGTGGAGTATATAACAAAGGAAAATAAACTCCATTATTTTGAGGAGCTGTAATGTCTTTTTTTCCTTTTATTGAATTATCTATTTTCCCTTCTTCCTTTCCTTTCAAATTGTCATTATTCATAGATAATGTATATAGGAAAAGCTTGATGGAATTAACAATAGACATATTGGAACAATAAAAGTACACTGAGGAAAATGCTTACAAAGTGAATTTACAACTATGAATAAAGTTTATATAGACAAACAGCTACTGGTTAGAAAATATACAGCAAAAGAGCCCATTAATAATAGCTATAAAAATGTGCATAATATATATGGAAGAAACTTTAATACTCTATTAAAGACTTATACCAGCAAGATTTCAGACTAATATAAGCTGAAAGCCTTTACATTGTGAAAATATGAAAATTTTGTATAGAATACAATTTTAAAGAGCTTCATGTAGAGCTACTCTTTCCAAAAATAAGAACTCACTAAGGACCAGAACAACAGAAACCTAAGAAACAAAAGGAGTAAGTCACGAGGTAAGCCACTGAAGCCCGCTATTGTGGTGAGGAGCCATTCCATTCACTCAGGTACCTGCATTTTAATACCAACAGGGAAACAGTAGATTTAGGCCCGCTGTCGTTCAAGATGGAAACTGAACCTAGAAAGCAGGAGTGAGAGGCAGAATGACAGATTAAGCACAGAAATTGGTAAATAAAACTTAACTACGCGAAACAAAAACTACCATGGTAATGACCAGTATGGGAAGTCATTGGTGTGCTGAAATATGTTTAACAAACTGGCTTTCGCAGAGGAAGTAGAGAAGCCCTGATTTGTAGCATCTGCCGATTCTCTGGGGTAAACACTCTCATCATGGCCAAGTTCTGAATGCAGACCTGGGGAGAGATGCCCCGTCACACACCATCGTATTGACAGGTACAACAGGTGGCCGTGACCTTACGGGCACAGATAATAGTAAAACATGGTAAAATACTTAAGTAGTGATGGGTTTTGAGTGGTTATTTCCTTGTTTTTAATATAATTTACCTAAGTATATCTATGTAATGTAATTTTTAGTAATAGCAGTGTTTAACTGCACACAAAACTTCTGAAATTTAACAGTCAGCTCTTGAGAGCTGTGCAAGCTGACTGCAGCCCTCCGCTGGGAAGCAAAGTGGAACTGAAACTCTGACATTAGTATTAGGAAAGGTAAGAGTGGAAGATTGAGGCTAAAGCCATTTGAGGTCTTTGTACTACAGTGAAAAACATAGTCACATATTTTAATGTACATGCCTTTTTCCAAAGTTGCAATTAAAAGAAGTACAATATTTAATTTGCAAACTAATAATGAAGAGAGAAATAAGAAAAATTTGATTACTACAAAAGAAAGTAGTGAGAACAAATAAGGACAGTATAAGGGTGGTACCACCCAATAAAGTGGTAGAAATAAATCTCACCATAACCACAAGAGTCAACATCACCATAAAAGTAAATGGCATAAACTTGCCAGTTAAGATGAACTCTTAAATTAATTAATTAATTAATTTTAATCCACACCAGAGGATATGTTTATTGATTTGGGAGGAGGAGGGAATGGGGAGATTGTTATCTTTGTAGAGAAGACAGAGGGGTAAGATCAGGGAAAGGCATTATAGGCACTTACCAGTTTTGATAATCTAGGTGGTTGGTACATATAATGGTGTTTAATGACTAATGTTTATAAATATTTGAATATAATTTATATATTAAGCTGTATATATAAAAATACTTCTTTTATAAAAATTAGTTTTATTTTTAATTTTTGGGATTTTATTATGGAAAAATATTTGAGGATTGTTGGGGAAAAAATCAGAAAAAGAAATTTAATGAGGGGAGAGTGGTATTAAATTTTATTAACATGTAGCATAAAGCAAAATTAGTTTAAACAGCTTGTTAATGACAATTGAATAGGATAACATAATGGAATAAAAAAATACATTAAAAAAAAGATTCAGATTAATACCTGAGAGGAATTTGTGAGCACATGGCAACTAAAAAGTAGGCTGTTATGAGAAAGGAATCATCAGCAAACATGATAGAGTTACTGGAAATCAAAATTAAGATTTCCTGAATTCAAAAATTCAGTGTAAGAGTTTGGAGGATAAATTCAATGGAGTCTCTCAGAAAGCAGAGTAAAAGAACAAAGAAACAGTAAATAATAAAAATATAATAGAGGAGCAGTTCAAGAAGCCTTATTATCTATTAGGTGTTTCCGAGTAATAATAGCTAGGAATTATACATTGCATGCAGTGTACTAAGTAGTATTCTACCTATACTGACTCATTGAAGCCCACAGGCCTAACCAAAACACTGTACTGCTTTCCACTAATTTGTTAAAGCTAAAATGTTAGTATCTGTTTTTGGAAAAATAATCACATAGAGGCAGTTTTTTAATTGGTCATTCTGTAATTAGGTTTACATTTTGAAAGTAGGAGGTATGTAGAGTATTTTATCACTGTTGTAGAGCTTAGAAATTATAATGTTTTAACTAAATTTTATCTTAAATTACAAAAATATTTTAATGAATCTTAGAGAAGAGCTTTAAATAATGGACATATGTTAAATTTTTGTATTCAATTAAAACAATTATTTTCTACTGTTTAATCAGTGATACTCTAAAATTGTCTTATTACAGTATAGATATGAATATATATCACAATTTTGCAGTTGGCTGTATCTTGCTGATCTATATTTCCAGGGATATCTGGAAGAACTCTTACGACTTCGAGAGAACCAGCTGTCTGAATCTGTCTCCCAGAATAAAACACTACTACAAAGGATTGAAGATTCTGACCTGGCCCATAAATTGGAAAAGGAACAGTTAGAATACATAATTGTAGAGCTTCAAGATCAACTGTAAGTGAGATCCTTTTGGAAAATTTTTGGCAGTATGTGAATATAACAAAGCATCATGTTTTAACATATGATTCAAATTCCAAGAAATCTATTTGCCTACTATTAAATTTTTTTCACTTCTTTTTTAAAGTTTACTTTTTTTTTTTTTATAAAAGTAATCCATGATCATTGTAGAAACATTACAAGATATAGGAAGAAAATAAAAATCACCTTCAGTTGTGCTACCCAGAGTTAACTGCTATATTGTAATTTGGTGTATGTCCTTTCAAATGCATAAGTATAATTTTTTAAAGATTTAGTTTACTTATTTTTAGAGAGGGGAAAGGCAGGAGAAAAAGAGGGAGAGAAGAATTAAAGTATGGTTGCTTCTCACATGCCCCCAGCCAGGGACCAGGCCCGCAATCCAGGCGTCTGCCCTGACTGGGGATCAAACCGCCGACCCTTTGATTCACAGGCTGCAGCTCAGTCTACTGAGCCACACCAGCGAGAGCAAATGTATAATTTTAAATGTATTTATTTAGTGATTGATTGATTGTAGAAAGATGGTCTTTAAGACAAGTACTAATAAAAGTTCAGTACCGGTGCCTAAACTCTTTGTCACTAGGTTGTGCCAGAATATTACTAAGCACAGCTCAGCGTTGCTTTTATTCTCTAGTAAGACTTCTTTTGATGAAGAAAACTGTGTATTGATCTACATTCTGGTACAAGCTCCTTAACTTTTCACTCTTCGAAGCACTTGTAGTAATCATACCATTTTGTCAAACTTGATTTTGTCAATTAATTGCTTATGGTGAGAATCTTCTCATATTAATATTTACTTAAAGGATGATTTTACTTTTTTTCTTGAAATAATTTCAAGCTTTCAGAAAAGTTGCAAGGATAGTACAAAATAATTTCCATATGCCTTTTCCTAGATTCACCAATTTCCAACATTTTGCCACATTCGTCATAATATCATAATTCTCTCCCTCTCCCTGTATATACAGATGCATTATTTTTTAAACCACCTGACAGTTTGCATACATCATGCCTCTTTACCCCTTAATACTTCCGTGTGTCTTTCCTAGTAGCAAAGATATCCTCTTAAATAACCATAGTTAAGCTTTCAGTTTAAGATATTAAATTGGTACAATGCTCTCATCTTATCTATAACTCATATTTCACTTTCATCAGTTGTCCAAATAATGTCTCTTATTGCAACTTTTATTTTTCTGGTAAGGATCCAATCCAGGATCATGTTTTGAATTTGGTTGAATAGGCCTCTTCAGTCACTTTTAAGTTAGAATAGTTTTTCAATGTTTGCCTCATATTTGATTGATACTTCTGAAGAATACAAGCTAGTAATTTTATAGAATGTCCCTCAATTTTAGTTTGTTTGTTTTCCCTCTGATTAGAATGAGTTTATCCATTTGTGCCTGGATTACAACATGAACGGTATGTCTTCAGGATATTACATCCAGAGGTACATAAAGTCTGTTATTGGCCTTTTAGTAGTGATATTAATTTTTGTCATTTGGTTAAGATGTTTTTCTCTTCCATATGGCTAGTGTAATTAATGTGTAATTTTCAGAGAGACTAGGTAAATATAAAAGATGATTTTTAAAGTAAAGTTTTATTAAGGAACATAAAAATTTAATACTTTCTGGGAATTTGTATCTTAATGAAAAGAATTATGTTCATATTTTGTTTCTCATATTTTTCTAATATTGAGTTTGTCCTATGGAGTAGCACTCATTTAGGGGCAGATTAACATCTTCTGTAGCCCTTTTATTCTATAAGCAGGGAGAAAAGTAAAGATTTCTGGGTATTTCTTTGCAACTAAAAGCTTAAGAAGAGATTTAATATTTCTTTTGCAAATAATCTTGGTAGTTGGTCTAAACTGACTTAAAAATAATTATGAAATCAATTTTTATTCAATCAAAGATATTTTCATTTGAAGAATTCAATTTGAATGTATCATTTATTTTACTTTTGATAATTTAAAGGAAATGAAGACTCAAACTTTTTAGTATTCAAAAGAACCTACAAGTTGTTTTATCATGCTTCTGGATAGAAAAGTATCATTTATCCCCTAGATTTTGCAAAGAAACCTTATGCTTGTGTTTAATACCTTTAAGGCAATTTTAACTAAAACAATATTACCAAAGCAACAAATAAAAAATTATGGCCACTGGTCAGAATTAGATTGTTTTCTTGAATTTAGAAGTTACAGATTTACTTTCCCATAGCATGGCTACAGTTTCTGGATGGGTGTAAATTGTTTTACAAGATGTAACAGTTTGCATGAAAACTGTTACAAGAACACTGAACAGAAGAGTAAGAGCCATTTCTTTCAGAATGTTCACAGTTCACTATGTTAATCAGAATCGTCTCTAAGTACACAATACTCTGGACATTTTTTCAGCTGTAGGGAGAGAGTGGACACATTGTCCTTCTTATATTGCTGAGATTTTTTTTAACCAATAATTAGGAAGACTTGCATCAAAGCTGGGCACTGAAATTCCCTTTGTTAATCCCAAGAAGATAAAAGTGGCTTTGAGATTAAATTTATAATATATGAAGAAAGAGGTCAGAAGAGAAGTATTAAATGAAACATGAGGCATGTAATATTTTTCTACATTATGTTGATTATCTTGGGTGATTTAAATCCTTTGTTATTTACTCTTTTCATATATTTCTCAATGGTTAGATGTGTTTCTGAATTACTGGTAAAATATGCTTTAATTATGTCATTGAATACTCATAAAATCTGAACATTTTGTAGTTTTGGTAACAGTACAAGTTCATGTGACGTACTACAGGAGCATTTTAAAGCTTTCTTGCAAGACTGTGTTCACATACTGTCTCTATACTTCATTATTTAAGCTCAAATTTAATTAATGTTTTACAGCCTCTTTTTCCTTAATTGTAAAATGGAGATAATATTCACCTTGTGAATTATTATGAGCATTAAACAGTATCATGTAAAATATATCTAGGATGGAGAAGGCATGCAAAGATTATTCCTCTGTTTGGGCTTACAGAAACCTTGAAATCTCCTTAATAGGTTCACTCGGAAAGATGGTCAATTTAAAATGTTTTACCTCATCATGCCCAAGTGCCACAGATCAAGCGATGAGCTTGAACTTGATTGTATTATTCCTGAGTATCAGGAAATTAACTTTGAAATCTGGTTTCTAAATGGCAGTTGGATTAATATTTATAGTCATGGTATAGACTTGTGCATAACATGCACATGAGGGAGAGATAAATGGTTACCTGCTACTTAATGTTGTTCTTAACTGTAATTCTTTTCCTCATTTATAACTGATGCAATACTATTTTAAGGTATTTTACCAAACAAATGTACCAAGACAAAGGTACATTTGAATGATTGGTGGAATTATGGTTGGTGCAGTTTTAAAAAAATAATTTTACATCTCTAAAAATCATGAGTAAGAATAATATTATCATTTCATTAGAAAATACAGCATTAGTATAGTTTTATTCTCATAGTTTTATTGAACTTTGTAGTATAGTTAGATTTTATTTCATTTCTATTCTTTTAATTTCATTTTATTTATATATTAAACTTCATTCAGTAAAATAAATATAAACAAGCTTAGTGTGTTAGTTTATATACTTTACTTCAATATATGGAAATTTTCTCAGGATTATGAAATATATTCTGTTTATAGCCTTTAAAAACTTAGTGTTATATTATGCTCATTGATGGGAAAACTTTTCGTTTTTAATTAGTTTTATTCAGTAAACATGTATTTAAATGTATGTTTTTGTGCTTGAGAATAACTGAAAGTACAGAGAAGACTAAAGTACAGTCTCCGTTTCCTAAGGGGCTCATCAGCTGGTGATGCGAATAATTTGACATCAATCACATTGTTGAAGAGTGCCACATATGGGAGGGAAGCTTTGGCCTCGTCCACAGGTTTAGATCTTCCTATAGGTCTAACCTCAGGAATACAAACCTCAGAACAGCATGCCAAAGCTAAACACCTTTGTCATGATTAACAGCAAGAAAATGCATAATAATGCATTTTTTCTAGATAGCGTTTTTCTAATCCACACCATAAATTTTTCTATTCATAATTTGAAAGATTACAGGGATAGTAACATGTCATATAGAGTTCCCTAGTGAAGGAGCTGAAGAGTCTAAATAGAAGTAAAGAATCATGCCTTGCTAAAACTGGGTCATTTTATAGTTCAGCAGCCAAGTTCATATAGTTCATGGTAAGTAGGGATGGTGTGATTTTCATCCTACAAACCATAAGTCAGTGATGCTATGGCATTGTGGTTCAGAAGGTTTAAGATGAGTGGTATGGATCCTAATAACAGAATACAGTGATATTATTGTGGCCAGCTACTAATAGACAAATTATAATAGGTAAATTTTATTTATAGATAGGTATAGATATAGGTAAGTAACAGTTGTAATTAAAATATTAAATTATAATCCATTAATATATGTTACATACTCTATTACCTATGTACAAACAGAGAATTCAATAAAATGTACCCAGAAGAGAAAAAGGCTAGGTACCAGATAGTTAGATAAAACCATGTCTATTGTGCTTTCTTGGTATTTGTGGGAAATTAGATATTACAACAGGAATGGATATTAATTTGATATAGTTATCATTTCATTGCCTTTAGTCATGATGTCTGACTGAAACTGTTGGCAGATTCTCATTTAGAGCAGGTGTTCTTATATGAGGCCAGGGGCCTAGCAACAGTTGGGACTACAATACAGTATTTCTTAGAAAAGAAGAGACTCACTAGAATATAAAAACATTCACTTTGCACATTCTTACTTAATAAATGTTTTACAATGAGTACATGAGAAAGGAAGCCTCCCCAAATTACTATTTATAATTAACACAATATCAATATGTATATATAAATATTACTATTGACCTCCAGTCAAGATGGAGGCATAGGTAGACATGCTTCGCTTCCTTGCACAACCATAGAAAGAATTACAACTAGGTCACAAAACAAACACC